AATGTTTCTGTCGCAATTCTCTATAAAACTGCATTCAAATTTTGAAATTTAATTTTTTTTAATTTTTTTGTAATTTTTCTGATGTGGAAATTCATAAAGATTAAGAAATGCCCCAAGGCTGAAGTTCTAAACTCCATAACTCAACTTATCTTAATCGGATTTTAATGTGGCATACCTCTAAATGTTTCTGCCACAATTCTCTAAAAAACTGCATTCAAATTTGAAAAATTGTATATTAATTTTTTTGTAATAGATTTGCAAAAATCTCTTTTCCACCACCTTTTAAAAAATGTTTAAGTTTTTTTCATTTTCTCAGTTTTCCCCAATTTCTACCGAGATTTCAGAAAACGTGTAAATTTCTCGTTTGCACTTCCACTAGCTGAGTAATGGGTACCTGATAGTCGGGGAACTCGACTGTAGCATTTTATCTTTTTCTTTATAAAAGCGCTTTAACAACTTTAATACATTTGAACTCTTGAATGTTTAATATTTTCAACAGCGTATATTTGCGTATCTGCGAATATTACGCGAAATGTGTTTATCTAGATATTTTAAATGCCAAACAAGTTTTTTATTAATCACTTTGGCCGCTTAAATTGGCCCAATTCGATTGGCGAACGTGGAGGGAGCGGGGCAACACCCTCGAAAATGGGTTCATTGTGCCCCAGTTTTTCACATTTTCACGCATTTTCGCATTTTGACATTTTCCACAGCCTCATCGACGGCGGTGCTGGTGCAACTGACGCCCCTGCTGGGCGCCCTGGTCGGCGTGATTGCCACACTCATTCTGGTGGCCATTTGCGTGGTGATCGTCATCAAATTCCGGAGCAAGCGGGGCGGCAGGCGGCACGGGACGGGCGCGGATGCCACCACCACGGAGGCGGACAAGGGCAGTGCCGAGCCGCTGTCGCGCAACATGGGTAGCCATTCCAGCCTGGAGGACAAAAATCCGGACGTGGTGCCCCAGGAGGCCAACAGCGAGGACGAGTTCCACCAGGAGGAGAAGGCCTTCGACCGATTGAATATGGAATCGCAGCGGATTTTGTACACCCCGCCGACGCGGATTAACACCGCCTCCCCGCCCCCGCCCTCGCTGTCGCCCACTTTTGGCAAGCAGGTGAATACATATGCATTTCCTCTGATTTCTGATTTCGGATTTCGGATTTCCCACATATTGAGCTCATTGTGAATGGCTTACCGCGCCGCGTTGCCTACTTTTAGGCTGTCGATTTAAAAGGGACTTAATTCGTTAAATTGAAAGTGGGTTTAGAGGGCCGTGTGGAATGAACTGAGCATTTAGAGCACTAATTTGAATATTCCTTTGTTTAGAAGTTTTGGTTGCCACATGAAAAAATGATATAGCAACCGCCAATCTCCGTTTTCCCGCCAATTAGCCAAAAGCCGTAAAAAATTAGACAAATTAGTTTCGTTGTTTTCCGCACCAACAACAAGTCCAACTTTTCCCCTGTTTTCACGTCCAGTCCCGTTTTGCTGACAATTTTATCATTGTTTTATAATTTTTTTTCCTTTTCCTGTCCAAAGGTTTGGTGGGGTGGGTGGCATCATATTCTGATGAGCGAATGCCAGTCGTCGTCGCCAGCAAAAGTTCAAAAATGTTTAGCTTTTTGTTTAGGTTGGCTTTTTGCGAGTTTTCGTCCGGCTGAGAGTTCCTAACAAGCTCATTAGAAGTTCTTGGTGTTTGTGCGGGTCAGTTTGGGAACTTTTCGATTAGAAATTGTTTTGTCAGCTCTTGTCATAAATTCAGGTTCGAAAAGGTTGGCTAAAGTCCTCCACAAAGTTTGCGGGTCACAAAAGGAAACTAGTTAGAGCCTGAACAAAAATCAAATTAGTTCACTATTTTGAATTGGAAAAGTAATTACACTTCAGCTTTCGATTATAATTTCGACAAAAAAAAAAACACAATATTAAATTGTGTCCGGTGAATTGAAACTAACTTTACCTTCTATTCCGCAGTACGGTGAACTCTCGCTAACCACGAATCCTGCCTTCAGCCTGTACAACACGCCGCAGCGCGCTCCTGCCGTTCAGCGACCCGTTTACACCGCCCCGCCGCCCCTTCTGTCCACAAGGACGCCCCCGAACATCTACACCCGCATCCCGGGCCGCGGGGGTGGTGGGGGCGGAGCAACGGTCACGGCGGCCGGAGCCGGCGGCTATCACCTGCCGGCGTACGAGACCCGCACCTCGCCCACCTCCCCGTACGGATCCACCACCACCTGCACGATGCCCCTGCTGGGCGGCCAGTCCAATGGCTCGCTGCAGAGCGGCGGAGTGGGCGGAGTGGGCGGATTGGGTGGCCTGGTGGGCGGCGGAGCGTGCAACACGCTGCCCCACCCGGGCAGCCTGCATGTGGGCGGCATTTCGGCGGCCCTGACCAGCTCGGTGACCAGCGGAAACATCACCATCGGAGCGGCACAGTCGCTGCTGACATCGCCGCGCTCCCAGACGGCCACGTACAGCACCACCCTGGGTGGAGTACAGTCGCCACTGCTGATGGGCGGCGGAGGCGGCGGCGGCGGCGGGAACTACGAGACGGTGAGCTCCTGAGAGTTAGCCAAAGAGGACATCAAGTGTCAGATCGTGTGCATTGGGGGGAGCAGCACGTGCACCACCAGCGCCTTGGGCGCCGAGCGCACCACCATCGTCTAAGGATGGATCGGGTGGCACTGACGAACAGTCGCAGAGGTAACTGAATCCCAAAATCTGTATTATAGTAGTTAAGCTGCATTGAAAACTCGACAAGACTTCCACACAAAAGGAGCAGCAGGAGCGGATGGAAACTAGATGTAAGGAATCATAGTTCTAGATGTAGCCTATGTTTACTGGATTTAGCACTGCTTCGACCCGACTAATGTGTAAGTGGAAGCCACAAGGAGAAGCATTTATTTGGTTTACTACTGTACCGTACAATTCAATTCTGTCTTTGTGCGCAAAAATAACATAATTATAACAACTAGAGAGTGGAATACTTCAGTGAACACAATGAGCTATGCTTGTGAAATTATAGAGAAGCTAGTTTAAACTTCAAACTAAGAGATTTACTGAATCGCAACTAGTTAAGCTATAGATGTGTATATATGTAACTTAAATTAGGATCAGGTCAGCTAATACTTAAACTAGTTTACGACTTAGCCACTTAATGTAGCCTAAACTAAATTGAACTTAGTTAGTCACATTGCGAATCTACGAAAAGACTATCCCCCTGATCATATATATGATAAATAACAGAATTTAATGGCATATCTCTATATCGACATAATACATATAGCACAAAACAGCAGCAGCAGCCCACAAGGAATCTGAAATAGGCGCAAAGAATATAAATAAAGGGTATATCGATGCGATACGATGCAATACGATACGATACGATATGGTGTGGAATGAACTGGATTATATAGTACTGTATATGGGCATCGAATCATATTTTGTTAAGTGTGGTATGAAATTTTATAAGCATCTGTTGTCGAGAACTTTATCAAATCTATATAGTACGAATATATAAATGATCTGTATGTATCCATGATTAAACTGCGCGCAAAACAAGTATAAAAACAAAAGTTCAATGTGTCTCCGCCAACCACCTGCCCAAAGAAAAGCCCTTTTCCAATTCAAAGTAGTCGCTCTAAGGTCAAACTCAAAGTTTTCCCATTTACCGATTCTTTCCACGATCACGATCACACCCCTCCCACCATAAGAAAAACCAACATCGAAAGTGCTTCTTCAATGACAAAATCAAATTGAATTGTGAATTGTGACTCGAATTATAAATTGGACAAACGAATACTTAAGAATGAAATTTAATTTAGCAGCTAAGAACTTTCGACTCTACACACATACACATAAAGTTAGGCAATAATATATTTTCTTAATTAACCCTTGTTTTGTAAGCGAATCGAATATTTATTTTCCGAACGAGCATCATTCAGTTTCATTTAGTTCCCTTCAATGTAAAGCAAATGAACACTTAATATTGCAAATGACGAAAAACAAGTGAAAATAAGTGAACAAAAATAAAGAACAAATGTGTATTAAAGCTGCAGTTTTTCTCCTTTTTCAAGGGTCAACTAACTGAAACTCGTTGTTGTATAAAAAGTGGTAAGCCCCGATTTTCTCTACAGTGAACTCCACGGGCGCTCGGACAGCCCGTTTACCCTGATTTATTTGGAAATATTTTTCATAATTTGAGTACAGACAGCCGTAACAAGCCCATTTCACCACGGGACACGAGTCGTGTGCGCATATTTGTCCTTTTGGCAGGACACGCAATACACTTTTCGAATTAATTAACGCTACCCCAGACGCAGCCCCAAAACCACTCAACCACCCAAAAAGGCGCACTCAAACAAAGCAACCACATGTGTCAGTGGCTGTGGAGTGGTGCACGATGGATGGATGGCAGGACGGAGGGTCATGGGTGCTTGTTTGTTTGTCCACATCCTGCGGCGAAACTTGTCACAGACTAATTTCGTGTCTCAGCTCATAAATTGATATTAATGAGCCGCCGCCCCATCCACGAATCATTTTTCGCGTTTGCCTAACGAATATTTAACTTTCGGTTGAACTCAGTGCGAGCTCGGTTTGGTTTGGTTTGCTTCAGTTCGGTTCGTTAGATTCCCTGACAGTTACAAAGTGGCAGTCAAGTAGATGCGTAATTCGAGCAGGACACCAAAGTCCTGCGGCTCCTTCGACAAGAGTTGACATTCAAATGAACATGTGTGCTGCTCTCGGCTGCGGAGGACATGTCCACTCAGCTCCCCAGGGAGAAACTAAGGCACATCGTGTAGCAGCAAATTGAATGAATATTTGGTGTTTGCACGGGAAAACTCGGTCAAATATTGTAAATTCATTAACCCATATGGTACAGCCAAGGTTGCTTTATTTACTAGTATTCACTAGTTGTTAGTGAAATACAGCCCAGCAGGATGATCCGTACAAAAAAAGGATACAAAAATGTTTAATGACCATTCTGAGCTGTTTAGCTAGTAGTTAGTATCTACGAATTCCCCAGATTTGTTTTTTTTAAAGGCTCGAGATCCCGTTCCTTGGTCGCAGCTCTTTTGTGGGTCGTCTTTTTGGCGGTTCCATCTCTGGCTTTATCGCCCTTTTTATTCGGATTTTTACTGGCACGCCCATTTCCCGCAGACTTTTTGGGCACCTTAGGCGGTAAGGGTGCGCCAATGATCTTTCTAGTGCGTTCCAGGACCTCCCTTCGCTGAGCTATCTGATTCTCCAGTCGCACTCGCTCCTCCTCCTCCCGCTGCAGATCCTGCTGACGCAGATGCTCCAAGTGGGCGTGGAATCGTTCGTTTTGCAGCTTTATGCGGTCCTCTGCCGATGTATGCAATTCGCGAATTCGATCTTGCTTAGCAACCAACTCGACCATTAGGGTTTGACATTCGTTGGCATACTTGGCCGTCGCTCGCACCGAGATTTTGGGGCAATTGAGATACAAATGGTAAAAAAAGCTGAAGATAGGATAGTTGTATTTCTCTAGAACCGATAAAAGAATGGTGAATTTGTTCGGAAGCTTACTTGTATGCCACGTTGAGCTGGTCCTGGATACTCTTGAGTTCGTCTAGTTGGGGCCGTGGAAGAGCCAACGCTTGATCTGCCTCCTTCTTAATCGTCAGGGCCAAATTAAAGAGCACAAATGGATCTTGGGGGACCAAGAGGCGGATTTTGAGCAGCCACTTCTTGGCTTGTCGGGTATCACCCTCGTCATACAAAGCTTTGGCCAAGTAGTGCATTACGGCCACGCAGTTTTTGGGCAGAAACTCCTTCAGGCATCGCTCATAGGTCTGTATGGCCAGCCGGTATTGGCCACGTTCTAGCGCTATGTGAGCCGAGTTCAGTATGGCGGGAAGACACTTATTCCCCGACTCGATAATCTGCTTAAAAATGGCAGCTCCAGCTGAGAGGTTTTTGTAACTGCTCAGCACAGCTCCAATGCCATTGGCCGCCCACAGGTTCCTTGGATTGCCATCGAGCACCTGCAAAAGTAATGTAACTATGAAGAAACATTATATAAGTATGTGTCTTACCATCCCAAAGAAGTAAAGGGCCTTCCCTTGCTGTCTACGGGCCGCTCCGAAATTTCCGCCAGCCATCCAGGACTGCAATTTTTTGAGACAAAAATTGCCCATCGCCATGCTGACATAGGTGTCCTTCACATTAGATTGGCTGGCGAGGATCATGTTATAGTTGAAGGTGGCATATTTGTCCAGGCTTAGCCTGTTGAAGCAGTCGCCCATATAGGCTCTAAAGTATTGACGACCCAAGACAATGAGATCAAGCAGTTTAAAAATAGATCATAAATTTCAATTAGGGACCAACCTGGCTGCCAAACTTGAGTTGTCCTCATTCAGGACGTCCTTGAAATACTCAATGGCTTGGGTGAGCTCATTCTTCTGCATCGCCATCACCCCCAATCTCAAATAGCAGTCGTAGTAGGTGGGATAGCTCTTTAAAATGCTCTTGTAGTTCTCCACAGCCAGGTCGAACCTGTGGAGTTCCTCCAGAACTAGACCTCGATTGTAGTGCAATGAGAGCAGATTGGTCGTCTTGTGCTCCCCATTCAGTGTTCTACATTTGGAAAGGGCATCGTCAAGGGTATCGAGTGCCTGCTCTGGCATTTTGGCCATCAGTTGGCTGTTGGCCAGGTTATTGAGCCACTCAATCGGTATGTGATGTCCCTCGCCAGAGTAAATGGAAATTGCCTTCTGGTAGGCATTGACGGCCTGGGCCCAAAGCCGCTTTTGCTCATATGCAAATGCCAGGCTCAACCAGCTATGGAAAGCCTCGCGGCAGGACGCGCTTTCCACCACCTTGACTAGCATCTCAATGGCCTTGTCGATTTGTCCTGGGGACCTTTCCTCAAGATATATGTTGGCCAAAAGTCTCCACACCAAGGGCTCCTCGGGCTCGTGCTTGAGGAACGCTTCCAGACAAGCCTTGGCTCTATTGATTTCGCCTTCATTCAGATACATTTGCGCCATTCCCACGTACGGCAGGACATATCCTTCGGGCGCTACCTTTACTGAAAGCACATAGTATTTCTTAGCCGCTTCGAGTTGCCCTGTTGCATGGTAACTCTTGGCTATCTGCAGGTAGTTCTGCGACTCGATCTGCTTGTTGTCGGTGGACCTGAGGGAATTTCCCGCCAAATCCCGAACCATTTCATGATTCCCTTCCAAGTAGGACAGGCTGGCGAGAATGCTGAGCACATCTGGATTGTGCTTGTTTTGGTCAAAGGCTGCCACCAGCAGTTTTTTCCCCTCCAGATAGGAATCCTCCCCGCGTTGGTTGAGCTTCAGTAGGGCCAAGCCAAGGAACGCGTTTTGACATTGAGCGTTGTACTCCAAAGCTGCTTGAAACGACACACGAGCTTTCTCCAGTTCACCCATCATCCGGAAGCAGTGCCCAATGCCAACCCGTACGTCCACCAATCCTTGGGGCTGCACTATCAGGACGCTCTTGAAGTAGCCCAGAGCTCCAGTATAATCCTGGTGGTTATAGGCCAGACACGCTCGTCCCACCAGAGCCAGTATATTTCTGGGCTGCTTCTGGAGCACGCGGATGAACAGGGCATCGGCGTCCTGGGCTCGACTGGATGAGAGCATCCACAGATAGCCTTTGGTCACCTGAAGGTGCGCATCCTCCTGCTCGCCAAGGCTGTCCAACTGATCGAAGTAGTTTATAGCCATGGCCTGGAAGGCCGTCCGGCATTTGATTCTCCTCAAGGCATGGTTGGTATGGTGGCTTGCCAGCAGGGCATAGGCCTTGGCCAGATCCTTGTCGTAGGACTTATACGGCGTCGTGCATTTGGCTATGCCTTTCTCCAGGGTCCTTTTAAAATCGCCCCTTTTACCAATCGAGTAGAAGTCCAGCTAATGTGAGGCAAAGAAGGTAAAAAGATACTCCTGTCAGTAAGTTAAGAACTGAGTGTCACTGAATACTCACCGCTTCCTGAATGTAAGCGCCCAGCAGCACCATTTTGCACCAGCAATTGATTTGGATTATAAGTAACACTTGGTTCGCAATGTATCTTTTGTCAATGACAAGCTAAGCGGCAAGAAATGGGTTGCTGACATACATAAAGTTGTCACATTTGGCAATGCAAGTGTTGGTTAAGATCACCAGTAAGTTTGAATTCAACCCTACATTAATTGATTTTCCCTACCAAGTAATCGTTCCATAAAATCACGAAACACCAAATACGAGTCATTTGTAAGTTATAAACGAACCAAGTGCTTTCTTCAAGCCCATTCCGCCGTGGTATCAATGCTCTATGAATAGTCTATGCAATGTCAATGCCAGGGTTACAATAAATCACTTCGATGACGTAAATTACAATGATTGCCACCCACTTACGCTTTCAATTCGAGCGTAATTATTTCATGATTCCGCTGCGACTCGCGTTTGTTCAGCGCGATTATCGAAGCTTTTTACCCGCATTTTTTGCTTGTCACCAAAACTGGCCAAAACGCGCGCACTAACAATCGAGCTCTCATTACTGTCTGCCAGTCAGTAAGTCAGTTTGCCCGATTGTCAGATTGCCAGATTGTCAGTCCCACCTCCTCCTATTGGGCCAGTTGTTGTCGCAGTGTAAAAATAAACAGACATTCCGCCGAACAATGGCAATCCATTCGATATGGCTCGCCCGGATTAGCTACCAAGTTCACATCCGCGTGTTGAGGGCAACTTGTTCTTATGCTTGTAGTAAGATCTGGGTCTCGGTGGGTATAAAAGCCCCGGTTCGAGTGGAGAACAGCATCAGTCAACGCACCTACGTTCGTCGCACACCAACCCAAAACAACCATCAACATGAAAGTAAGTGCAGCTGGTCTGGGCATCCAAGGGAGGTCCTTCCCTAGGACCCCACACCTCTTGATCCCGGATAGCCCCATTAATTCAAACTCTGAATTCATTTGCTGCAGTTCCTCGTCTGCTTGGCTCTCTTCATCGCCGCCGCCCAGGCTCATGTGGTGGCGCCCGCTGTGGCCACCTACGCCGCTGCTCCGGCCCTGACCTACGCCGCAGCCGCTCCAGTGGCCACCTACTCGGCCGCCATTCCCCGGGCCTACTCCGCCTACGCCGCCCCCTCCGTCTACGCCGCCCCCTCCGTCTACGCCGCCCCCTCCGTCTATGCCGCCCCCTCCGTCTACTCCTCCTCCTACGTGGCCGCGCCCTCCGTGTACTCCGCCTACGCCGCCCCCGCCGTCGTCTCCACTCTGCTGAAGAAGTAAAGTGCTCAGATCGATCAAATGCCAGCCGTCAACTTTGTCAATGATTTTGATGTATGAAATAAAGCTGTGAATTCACGAAACGAACGTTGTATTTAGGGTAATATATTAACTATGGACACCAGATTCACTCCGCATTCACCCATTAAACACGGATGTCCTTTGAGCTAGTCCTGCTCCTCGGCACTGGCGCACCTGAGAGCTCCAAAGTGTTTAAGGTTAATCGTTGGCATACATATTTTATTTAAACTAGGTGGCTGGCCCAGTTAGCAGCCGGCATGTGGCTCATGTTATGGCATCCGGCCGCCCGTTAATGCTATGCAAATGAATTGCGAGTAGGCTAGGATTGTGCCATGTTCAGGCACGTGGCTAAAACACACACACACAGGACCAATAGAAGGACCTGAGTCTGAGCGCGGCAGCTAATTTATTGATTGCTCCGTAATGCACTTAGGCGCTGAAGGAATCCTTATTTTGGCAGGATTAAATGCTCCCGTTCTCGATACACTTCCGGCAGACGATTATGCAGAACAACAAAAGTTTTCCCCGCTACATTTCCGGGGAAAAAGTTTAGCTCTAGCCCAAATCACTTAGAGCCCAGTCGGAAAACAAGTGTTGGCATGTCGAAAAATCAGAAGCCTTTTGCTCTCCCTGTGTTTTTGGGGGTGTGGAAAAGTTTGGAAAGTTTTTGGCACAAGAGCAACAGGCAGCAGTCAAAAGTTGCGAAATCTAGATACCAATTCATCTGCCGACTGTGTAACAAAGTCCTTGACTTTCAGCTGAAACTTCTAAATAATTAACCAGCAATTTACAACGTTTGGCCCGGTAAATATTTAATTAACCATTTGCCAATGACATTTTGAAAAATGTACAAATACAGCATCTGCGCCCTGTGAGTGCTATCTCTCAGCGATTGACTTGGCAAATAAATTATTTAGGAGTCTACAGACAAATTAGGATTTGTTTTGCGTGTCGAGGGGAACGGAAGGGTATTCTGCATAAATAATCCATGGCAGGTATTGTCGGCAATTAAGTGACCAGGGTAAACGATTATTTGTACAACTGTTATGGAAAACAAACAAGCAAATTGCCTGGCATCACACGGACATGAAAGACGACGACGAATTTAATCCAGGATCTTTTGTGCATTGGCACTTCAGACGTCAGGCCCTTGATTGTCTCAGTGTTTTCCTTTTTTTCCGCATTTTATTTTAGACAAGGACGTGACAACACTGGCACAAGTCGCCATTGTCAGTGGCATTTCCAGCACAAGGAACAAAGGGAAACCAGAATCGCTTCCCCGACCAGATTCTCCCATTTTCCTGCCACTTGAGACGCAGCCAAATGCCCCAGGACGTGTTTGATATGCACTCCATCCTGGCATGGGCTTAATTACAATGGCAAGGACAACAATACACCATATTTCGAGCCCACGAAATCTATGGCAAACAACTGTCCTGCCGATGCTGAAGAGGGAAATGAATACCGGATGATATGTACTTTCCAAAAGCGGCTTTCCTTCTCGTTCGATTCGATTGCATCTGAAGCGTCGAAGTAGAAGAGCATCTTCAAACTATAAATAATGCCATGGCAGCACAAGTTGCTTCCAACTATTGTTACCAACAAAAGCGATGAATACAGCATTAATTTGTTCATACTTTAAAACATTACTTACCCCTCAAAGTTCTTGTAAATTTGAAATTGATAACTCTTGCCTATTGTTGGCCCAGCCTTAAATATGCAATGCATTATAAATATGCTGTTGCTACTTCAACTCCGCAGTCTTCTGCTCAAATGAGCCTAAATTTCGTGATGAAGTGCCTGTAATGAAAACTCCCGCCTCTCCGCCCAGCTTTGCGTTTAAATTAATAAAACATTTAGCCAGCTTGAGCACACGCACACTTTCCTGCGCAAACAAACTAAAATTAACTAAAAATGTTGAGAGTGGCTGAGAGCTGCAGCAGAAACATTAAGCAAACAGCCGAAAAGTATGCTTCAACTTTGGGCATTACATAAATTCAACACACACACACCCACACCCACGCACACGCACACAAAACCCACTACAAGTAAAGGCAACAAAAGCACATTATGGCTTAGATAGCGCGGCAAGGGGGAGGGGAAGTCCGGAAAAGAAGCTAACAAACAACCATAACATTTATCACGAACACTTAAGTAGACGCAAAAGGGGGAAAATGCAGGAAAACCCGGGAAAGTCAGGGCAAACTGGCGCGCTGGTGGGCGGTTTGTTAAATCAATTTGATAAACTGTCAATAATGAGAAATAATTTAATGCGCAGCCTCCCAGTCAACCGGATGGAGTGGAGCTCGGAAAACAGATTTCCCCCGACCCATCGTCGTCATAAGCAATTATGATGAACTTGAGCTGGATTTTCCCTGCTTCCCAACAGATTTTCCCCCTTCGCTCCGCTTACTGTGTTCGCTATTAGCACTTGCTGAAGCTAAGACAAATTTTTGGTTACTTGGACAAGCGAAAGCCGAGATTTATCAAAGATATCACCGAGATGGACCAGTCAACAATAACGCAAAGTGTCAACAGAAGACAACAAAGCCGGGAAACTGGTATGGGAACTGGATACAGCAGGAGAGCAGATGAAAATGCCAAGGAAAAACAGGCGGCGTAACCATGGCAAGAACGATAGCAGCAGCACCGGGGAAAAAGGATGCCCAACAAGGGGATGGCCAATAACAACATATTTTGCATACCGCAGTTGAGTGTGGTGTTGTGCTTGCAAAGGGTTTATATTACTACAAATTTGTAGTTTGGTTTGGAAAGCAATAGAAAAATGTACAAAAATGCGGTGCTCTTGAAGAATTTAAGGATGTTCTGCTAAGATCGCAGCTTCTAACACATTCCTTTTTCTCAGTGCATTTCGTAGGCAGCCCTACGATTTTGGGGGCGGCGCATGGGGCAATACAGCAGCAGGGGGCCCAGGAATCCTCTGGCGACACTGGCGATGTCTGTGCGTGCGTGGCCCGAATCCTTTTGTGCGGGCTGTTGGAAACGACCTTCATAAAACAAACACGCCGATAATGAGTGAACAGTGGTGGGTTGCCCTGCAAGGAGCGGATCCTGCCCCTGTGTCCGGAACCACATTTGGTGCCAGGCCACGGATTGGAGCAAGCACCTCGACCGTGACTACGGCTCCCAGTTCAACGGATTCCCGGGCTTCCTTTGTGAGTGCAACTAACTGGGCGATAATCGGCATTTGATTTGGTGCCGGCGAAAACTTTTCTTAAGAGTTTACCTCTATCCTCGGCCCGCTTTTCCCCCACATTTTCCGCATTTTCTCTCCCATTTGCGACAGCTGATTGTGAAGCCAACTCCAGTTTGGCTTTGGCCTGAGTTATGTGATAAAGGCTTTGCCGAGGCCTCCGGCAATCGAATTCGGCCTGGCGAAATTTTAAGCCCGAGAATTCCGGAACAGGCAGCCTTTGCCTTTGAACGGTAATGATGTGTGCCCCCGTAAATGGGTTACGGATAATTGTTGCGGTTTTCGTTTTTCGGCTTTCTGTTTTCTGTTCGGGGCTTAAATGAGCACGGCTTACCGAAAAGGACCTCTGAACTTTGGACCGTTAAGGCTGGAATTTCATGCAATTTCACTTTTCAAATAAGTTTTCTGACTGGCAGTTGTGATGGGTATTAACTGGCCTACTATGTGGGAAACACTCATCAGGAAATGTGATTTGAAGAGTTCCAAAGTTTGTTTTACCTTTGCCTTTTTGGCCTTTGCTCAGCTTTAATCTAATAATGTTTCAGCATTTTCGAGATTCCTTTTAGACATTACCTTTGTTGAACTCTTTTTCTCTGTGCCCGAAACAGCATTAAGCCAGTTAAGGAGCGGAAGTCATGTTGGCTCCGGCCTGCCACGCCCACCGCTTTCCACCCACCTGCTAAATTTGCATAAAAGATGCTTTTCACTTTTCCAGCCAAAGAAATGAAAACTCGGGCTGCAAATATCTCAGGATGGCTGGCTCCGCTTTTTGTTGCCTGGTTCGGTTGCCTGGCAGCCGAGGGAAATAAAATATTTTTTGGCAAAGGAGAGCTAAACGGCAAGGAGCGCAGAGGGAGTTACGCGAATGGAAAAGGGAAATAGCAACACATGGAATTTTGCCGTTTTTGTAGGGTTTTCATTTTTTGTTTCCCTGTTGTCGTGTGGAATTAACTTAGCGGAAACGGAAATGGGAAATGGAAAATGGAAATGAAAGCTGCTGCACAGAGGCATATGGGCAGTGTCAAGGCCCAAGAATGATGGCCGACAGCTGTTGTCCTGCTGTCCTTCTATCCTTTGTCCTTTGTCCTTTGATATGAGTTTCCTTGCATTTCCCGGCTAATCATCCACGGATAGCAGGACGCTTTGCTGCCGCTCGGCTGGCTCTTGGTTTCTTCCCGAATGGGGCCTCAAGATTTGCCAGTAATTGCAGCAGTAAATGAGGAGCGCTGGCCGGGAAAATGAGTTTTCATTTGGAAATACAGCTAGTTTTTATTGTATCCCTCACTTAAGCAGCTGAGCACCAGCCAAGTCAAGGTGGCCACCACCATCATCAGATTGTTATGAGCTTGTTCTTCCTGGGACACTAAACGGGAATCACTTATCACTTATGTAGCTCGGTTTTTAGAGTTTATGTCCGTACCTCCTGGCGCTGTAAAGTTCTCACTGCCGGCCATTGTCTATAAAATCTTTACTGTTCCGTTGAATAGTTATTCCAGCACTGGCTCCCATTCTCTTTATTTCACTGTTCCAGCTCAACTGGGTACTCCGAAACAGCTGTTTTGCTATCTTTATCCAGGCATTTATGTGGCTTTATCGCTAAGTGAATTGGCCATAGCAGCCCAGACAGCAACTTGGTCAGTTTGGCCTGTCATGAATATGCAATTCCACTCAAGCCATGTTGATACCCTGCAAGTGATTAGTTCTGATATTTCAATTTGAGGCGCACATATTTTTGCATTTGACTTGCGGACTTGCAAGCCGTATCTCAATTTCACTTTCAATTGCATGTGGCGATACAATTTCATTGAGTCATCTATTTATAGGGGCTCTTACCTCACTCGCCTGGCCCCGCCCACTTCGCTCCCGCCCCCAATTCGGCAATTGTTACTGTTATTGAAGGCGTTGCTGTTTATCATTTGCCGCATTGCATGACTTCAGCTAGTATATCAATATCTGGGAACTCGGATACTCGGATACTCCGATACCCGAAGCCCATTCCAAATATTTGGCTGCCATCGACACGTCGAACTAAGGAAAACGGGCAGAGCGCCTCATAAAAGCCAAACTTGCATTTATGGCCAAAACAAACAAATATTATCGAGAAAATTATTGCCGGCGCCCAAACAAAATGGAAAGCGTATGAAATGTTGTTTGTTTCGCTGCACACTCGTGACTTTTTAAGGGTTACAAGGCGACAGGTTTTAGGACAAGTCAACTGCATTTCTTGCCTTGAATTCCCATGCAATCGATGTTGGCCAAAAAAGGTCGCCCGCCGCATGAAATTCGCATCTGTGCCATTCCCCATATGCTTTTTGGCGTTCCGTTGACCTGACAGCAATATCCGCCGGATGTGACATTTGGTTTCCTGTTGCGGTGAATATCTGTACTTGTATATATGGGAGTTCTGGCGGATGGTATAACTATTAGTACACAAAACTCAGGTATAGGTAAATGCAGGCAATGTAGACGAATGAAATTCAGTGAAAGATGTTGATCGCTTTTATAAGCACTCTGCCTAAAACCCATTTAACCCATTTATATGCAAAAGTATAGCAAGTCGTGTAGTATGTTATTACACATTAGATGGAAATGTGTGTCACTCCTTTCAGCGAGAGAACAGGTTGTCAAAGGCTCATTTCACTTATTATTAGCAATTTCGTAATTGTAATTCAGGAATCTCATCCCTTGGGAATTCGTCCTCTTCAGCTCGCCAACAAGCTCTTGGGGCAAAATAAAACGAAGCATTTCACGATGCAGAAGTCATGTCAAAGGAGGGCAGAAGTGGGTTTCCAAGCGATGTAAGGAAAGCCACATAAATGTTTTCTTTCTGCAGCTCCTTCAGCGTCCTTTTCCTTTTCCTTTTCAATGAATGATGAATGCTGGATATCTCTCAGTCTTCGTTCCTGAGTTTTCTTTGAGTGTGTGTGTTTGGGAGTCGTAATGAAATTAAATATTTAAGCTCGCAATGCCTGAATGGACGGGAGGGGGAAATGGAAATGCGTGGAAAAGAGTGGAAAAGCGGAAAAGTACTGCAAAAAGGACACAAAGCACATACATAACTTTGTGCCTTATGTTTCACAACATGCTGTGGTTTTGGCCCAACTGAATTGCATGACTGGGGATTAGGATTTGGATTAGGGATGCGCAGCACTTCAGACTCTCCAAATGCAACTGCAACATTTGCAGCTGCCACTGCCGGATTAAGCCAACTACTGCGGCATTACGAAACGGTGCCAACGTCATCATAATCAACTTTATCCTGGACTTTTCCCCATCCTTTTTTCTCCACTTTTCCAAGTCCCTCGGAACGTGCTGACACCTCGCCAAAGTTGCCAACCGTCCTCTGCCGATTATTTGCTGTCAAATCAGAATTTATTTTGGCAATGCATTCGATTTGGCCATTTTCACTAGACCATGCCAAGGTGTTCTGGTCTAAAGCACGTCTGGCAAACGTCAGTTGAAACGGGGAGAAAAGTTACTCTTTGGGAACTTAAAAGTGTTTTATTGGAGCTATATAAGTTTTTTAGAGCTTAGTTTAACAAGTATAAGAGCTTAGAGATCTATCGTTTGGGAACAATTTCATCTTTATTGTATCTCAATTGATTTTTATTACCCATATGATTTTATTCCAGCCAGTTGGGAGTAAGCATTTGCAAATGGAATGCTAATCCAATGAACCTTAAATTCTCTGAAATTACACGATGCCCAGTGCTACTGGACATTTATAGCCAACGCATTCAAGCGGCAATGCAACAATTTTTAATTACCATTTAGGCGCTCCAACGAGCATTACAGAAAGGCGAAAAAATAAAATAGATAGGAGAAATTGCTGGCAGCATTTTGGACTCGACTTTTTGCGCATTTCTTCCTTTTGCCAAGCGTTTAACAGAAATGAAAAAGCAAAAAATCGAAATCGAAAAAAGGCAAATACGGCGAAAAAGGACGACGAACAAACGCCAGCAAACGCCAGGGAAATTAAGTCAATGTCCTGCGGGTTCAGTTGCGTTTTGGATAAATGTAATTAACCTTCAGGATCGCCAGCATTGAGTTGGGTAGCCCAACTTAAACAGCGGAGACAGCTGGAGAAAGTGGATAGCAGATGCGAAAAGCCAGATTATTTGGTGTAAATGATGGGTTAATGTAGCTGCAGCATATTCGTGATGGAAAAGATTTACTCGCTGCTCGGAGACATTCATCACCTTAAATAGACCACGAACCACATCATTAGGACAGTCGCCTTGCAAATTAATTACAATCGAAGCGTGAAAAGGGGGGGAAGTTTGGGTGGAAAATCGGTTGGGTGGCACGGCACACACCGGATATCAATGGAGGGCAAACCTAGTGCCAAGAAACGCCGAAATTCGCAGGCAAAGTTCCCTGCGCTTCTGGCCAACAATGGAGCCCTGCTGTAATTACCTTCTCACACACAAACAGTGGAACACGGATAAAGACTTTCGCATACACACATAATTAACTCGATAATGAGGACAAAACCCGTAGCCACACGTACAGTCAAAGCCAGAAAACCCGTGCCCCAAGCCCAAGCCCAACTCCCTATCAACCCCATCCCAATCCAATCCGCAATCCCCAATCCCGCCCAAGTTGTCGCAAATGTATGTAATGGCGTGTCACAGTTGTTGTTCCTGCGGTTGGCCAGGGGCATCAGGGGGTTAAGGGGCGGTGCACAGGAGGGTTAAGCATGGGGGGAACCCCCATACCAACTATAAGGTTTTGTTTGCCACGATAATGACTTCCGCTTCGACAGAGCCGGGGATGACAGAACCGGAATTTGTAATTGCTCCTAAGCGTTTGCATTCTCGATCTCAATTTCCAGCGCCTGCCTTTGATTTTGCCAGCCCAAAGGAAAAACTACCCCATTTTTCCCCATTTTTTCCCACTTTTCCCACAAATCCAGGAATGTGCTTGTGTGCTCCTCGCTTCAAATTTATACGCATTTGACCCGAATGTCGTTGTGCCCAAGGAAAAGTCGTGCGAATGCGAAAAAAGGTGTGAAAAACTATGCAGGAAAATTGCAGCACATAAGATGGGTTGGCTTGGTTGGGGAAACTACAAAGTGTTTGCTATGCTAATTCCTGAGGGGGGAAATTATATTTAGTAGTTGCAGCAATTGACGAAAACTGCAGAAATTGGCAAATTAGAACATTTCTGATTCATTTGAATGTGAACAACAGGTGCGTAACTATAAAGGTTGGAAGTTTAAATTCCTGAAATATTTTAAAGATATTTTGGCCGAAGTTTAACACAAGCGTTTCAACCATTTAATTTCACTTAGTTTCTTTCTACTCGAAATCATAAATAATAAGCACCATCCTTTGGGAGAGCCAGGAATATTTCATGATTAAGGGCAATTGAATTACACATTTGCATAGCCCAGTTAATTCCTCTGGAGATGGCCAAGATACAGAATGGCAGACAGAGTGGAAACCCCTAACATTTATCGCAGTTTACATTCCAATTGCCATTTGCCAGTGGTGGCCAAAATGGGGTGGCATACACCACCCATTTGATTGCGGTAAAATGCTAATTAACGGAGCAATGCTCCAGTTTGGGGAAAAACTTTAACCCACTGACAAATGACTAGCAGTCTGGGCTGCGGCAGGCGGTCAGGGGTTAAGGCGGGCCAGAGTCGCCTTTTCTTTAAAGTTTTCAACCAACTCTTTAACGTGGCCTAAATATTAATGGGCGCATTACGTATACGCCACCGCTGCTGGCCGCGATCCAAGCTGACCTGCCCAGGGAATCGCCGGTCTTAAATTCATATCAAAATATATATATTAAGTATTCTGTTGCACTGGATTTGGGGGCCGCTTTGCTTTAATATTTATAGCAAAGTCCCTGGAGGACGAAATGGTCTTTGTGCGCGTTCCTCTATTTGTGAAATTTAAGCACGGAAAGGTTCGCATATTAAATGCCACTCGGTCTGAGCAGCGAGTTATCAGTCCGTCTGCCTTTGGGGAACTGGTTGTTTGGCTCCTTGGCTCTAAACTTGTTGGTTCCACTGGGGGATTCGGTTCTGTTTGGTAATTTGTGGAGTGCAGCTCCGCGTGGAAGGAACCAAACTGTGGGTTGGGCGATTTCAATTGGCTGCGGATGGATTTAATAAAAGGTTGTTGTGGGGGGCATCCTTCTCAAAAAAACCCGGCAGTTAACTGTGCTGGAGCTAAAATGCTCGGGGAGCAATACAAGACCTCGCTGGCCAGTTAAATTAGGTAGTAGCATAAATAAGTTCAAAACTGTGCACACAGCGCTTTTGAAATAATCATAAAGCAAGGCATTACTTTCGATTATGAAACCCCCTTGAAAGTACGTTATATATTCCTCACTTTTCAATGTTTATTTTATGGTTAGTTCAAATTGCCATTGCCAAAGTCCTTCGCTGCAAATTAATTACATCCTTTGCCAGGTTCTCTCCGTCCTTGTCGCACTCCCCTTGTGTGTGTGTGTGTGTGCGGCTGTGTGTGTGTGCTAGCACTCGATAAAGGCATTGATCACGCAGCCATCTATATAGCTCATCCGCCCCGTAAGCCCGCCCGCTTTTGCATTTGGCTCGATTGCAATTACGTCGCGTGGAAAGTGTGGTGGGAGGGGGTTGGTGGGAAGGGGCTTGCATATTTCATAGTAGCTACGCATAAGTGACACTTGTCAAAACACATTTTCCACACCTCCCACCCGCTTTTCCTTTTGGCCAGAGGCAAAAAAGCATATTTCAAGTGCGGCACTTCATGTGCGTCAAACAGAATGTCGGAGCGGAACAGCATGTGCATGTGCGAGGGAGAGAGGAGAGCAGTGCACACTCACACACATACACATGCACACGTACACACATACACACGGACACACACACACAAGGCGAAGCGAACAGTGAACAGAACTGAAAAAGTGCTCAAGTCGAAAGCCCTCGAGTTGTTTTGCAACATTTGAACACGTCAAGTTTTTTAAGGTCAACATGTCGCTGGCAGGCAGGCCAGACATTAGACATCAGACATGGCTAACACGCCGCGAGTGCTGAAGGGGGTGGGGCAGGGGCAGGGGGCGGCAAAAGGGTTTACGCAAAGGTGGCGAACGGGAAATATCGGTTGGTCCAACGTCCGGGACGTCATTTGCATCCCCAGCGATTGTCAAAGGACCAGACCTTTTTCCATTTCCATCTTGGAGTCCTTTGGCTCAAAGTCGCTCACAAAGTTGCTAACTTGGTTTAAGTAAAGTGATCCCAAATCACTCACTAAACATTTACATTATTGCTTGCGTGAGGTCAGAAGTGAATTCAATTTTATTGAACATTTGGGTAATTTGTTTCTTTTCATACTTATTAAAATGAATACTCATTTCTTGGTATGAACTCACTTCTGAGAGGCCAGCCATCTTTGCTGCTTGGCCAAAAGAAAAGCGCTCCAAATCCCACATAAGAACTGCTTCCTTCATTGATATCCCCAAAGTCCACCTACACTTTTCGGTCCAAGAAACCGTAGGAAAACGCCACCCAGCCCCTCCGACCCAACGTTTATTGTTACTTAGCTTTGGGCCAGATCCAAGGCTGGTCCTCAGCTCTTCGGATGCCTTGTTTACCCTTTGGATGTTCACGGCTTTATATGCGAAGACGTATGTGGAAACACATACGGGTGTGGTGCGGTGCGGTGTGTGGGTTTCGGTCTTGTTGGAAAACACTTTTTCACAAAATTTTCTCAAAAAGAATGTTAGACAAACCGCTTTGTTGGCAACAATTTGGGTTAAAACTTAAGTGTTTTGCTTCGAGTTGAGCACAGCCACTCCCCGCTGCCACAGCCCCTTAAATTCTTTGGCATTGCAGTGCTTTTGGCCCGGCTTGAAATGAAACCCACAAGAAAGGGCGAGCGAGAAGGGCAACTAGGAAAAACCAACAAAGTCGAGGGAAACGTGGAAATGTTCTTCTTGTGCTTTTCCCTTTCATGCATTCCAAGCCAAGAAGCAGAGTCTAAGGACGCCACAAGGAGGAGCTAAATTGTCCTTTTAACTTCTTGCGCAGCTGCTGCTGCTCCATATAAATTTCGTTAAAATTCAGCACTGCACTTTCGCTTTTTCCCCAAAACCGACCCAGCAGACAATGAGCAGAAAGTATCTCGACGAGCACCCAAAGAGGCTTCCTCATTAGACCAACTAAAGAAAATTAACAGTCATTACGCAAATGAAAAGTGCAGCGATGCAGTTGGGATTGCTGACGTTAAGCGATCTACCCCATCAATTCGAATTTACCAATATGAATATAATGTGTGTTTCGAATAAATAAAAAGCAGCAATTTGTGGTGCTTAAATGGTTCTGTGAAACTCGAGCCGATGCGTTGCATTGGGCTAATTTGATTGAAAGTTTTCGGATCAAGTTTGTGTGGGGAGTCTTACATTTGCCGCACATTTGAGGCCACATCAAAGGAAAAGTTGATGCAAATATATGCCCCGGACTGAAACCAAAACCAGGACCAAAACCCACACCCACACCAAGACCCAGACCAAACCAAACCAAACCAACTCGAAGCCCGACCAATCCATTCAAATGTAAGCAAAGTGAAGGAGGAAGACTGCCGGAGTCGCAGATGAATTTGTTTGTTCACATTTTGGGGCTGCATTATTGGATATCTCAGCTCGAACTTAACTAATTTTAAAGTTTTCCAAATGAGAGATCTCTGTGTGTGCGGCAAGCTCTGCCAAAGTTTCCCCAGCTCGTGGAATTAGTTGCAATTTTCAGCATCTGGGGGAAAATTTTACATTGACTCGGGCACTGAAATCGGGCGTTTTGCGGAGCGAGCAGGAAATTGTCTACAGCTGCTTGTGGTTCAGTCTCATCAACGTCATCTTTAAAGTTTTGCTGGAATTCAGCGAGCTCACAGCTCGGAAAACAATTTGCGAGCCATTTGTTATTGAAGTAATTGTTATTTGCCCAGCATTTACAAAATTTTGCAGTTACGTGGCCTAAAATTTGTGATGCGCTGTAATTTTTGAAATTAATAAACAGGCTTAATATTGGGTAATGATATCTTAAGGAATCATTTTAATGGTTTCATCGCCTTGAGGAACCAGCAGAAATGAGTTACCTGCCATAGCTTGCCATCCCTGGGGTATTAGACCATAAAGTGTGCACAATAAAACTAAAGACTAATATAAGGGAAAATCACAAAAGAGCTTACCAAGTTCTTTGACACAGAAAAGCCGGTACCTCTTTAACTCACACGTAACCTGTACTTTTCGCTTTATGGCAGGGAAAAGTTTATCACCGTTTCTTTCGCACTTTGTGCGGCTTCTTTTGGATCTGTTACATATGCTGCCGGGAATATTGCCAGTTAACCAAGTTAACAAATCCACCCCAAAGGTTCAGTTCCTTTTGTTGGACTGAGTTCCACCGCTCGCTTGCCGCATGTTGTTGATTACACTTCGGACGGTCATAAATTTGTATCAGCGTGCTGTGGAAACTCATACAGCAAGTTGGGAAGCTGCACAAAAAGAAAAGTCGGCAGGGGCGGGGGAAAAGTTTTTATTTTACCTCGGCGAGCTCAAGTGAAACTTGAGTGCAGTGTGAGGAGATGGGAAAAGAAGAACTCAATTCGTGGTTGAATTTTCATTAACTGCTTGTTTATCGAATCGAAATCTGAGCCATTCGGGGTTCCCCCAAACGCAATTGAAAAGATACAGAGTGGTAGAAAATAGATTCATATTCTTGGGTTAGTAGGTGGAAAATATCTTACTCGGAATCCTCCTGCTCGTCCTTATATGCATTCTGGTGACCCTTGTTCATAAATTTCTGCGTGTTGTAGTTGAGCGTTAGATCCCGGGTACGGCTCACCATTGCTAGCAGTTCCAGTAATAAGCTTTCTGAATTTTGCGTGTATTGCTCCAGTTCCACTTTCGTTGCCAGTTCCCGGAAATTGCGAGCGTAGTCCTCCAGATATTCTACCAAAAGTCCGTGCTGTTCAGTCACTTCTCGGAGCTCCACGGGTATGTCGATGGTGTGGTTACAGTTCTGGCCAAAACTGATGTTTTGAGTGTAGGAGCTTGCCTCCTCGGAGGATATGGTTATATGCCGATTCTCCTCATCCTCCTGCTCTTCGTCGAGCTCCTCGTCAGCCAGCATTTCTGGCTCGGATTCGTCTTCGAGATCGGGAGACTTGTCCCCATCCCCATCCGCTTCCCCTTCTGCGGACTGCAAGATATCTTCCTCCTTGGCTATAAGCTCCTTAACCCTGTCTGCGTAACGTAGTGTGTTGAGCGTATGCTCCACGCAGCTCATGGCTGGCGATATCATGGCAATCATGCAGGTCTTGTTCTTCTTGCCGCCGACAAAGGAGTCGCGCAGGACCTGGGTCAGCTTGGACCCACGGAATGGCAGGTGGCTCGACTGCCGGCTGAGGGCTCGAATGCACTCCTTGAGGGCCAGCAGGGACTTGTTGATCTCGGCCCCCTCAATGCGAGTTTGGCGATCGGCGGATTGCGTATCCGCACCGCGTTCATTGCCAGCCAAGTCCACAAAGGAGCACTTGCCGTAGGGACCCCAGGAATCGGGCATGTGCAGTGCTATTTGAAAGACGGCGTGGGAACGCGACGACTTGGCGTTCGCGGAGGTCTGGCCGGAAGTGCGCTCCTTGGTGCCGTGCTCAATCAGCCGCAGGACATCCTCCACTTTGGTCACCGGCATCTCCGTTAGACCCACCACCACGACCTGCTGTCTGCCGTCCTCCAGGACGCGCAGCTGCGGCTTGTTGGGCAGCAAGAGATCGAACACCTTGGTGCCGTAGATTTCAAAGAAGCTGCACGTTATCTTGGCGCCCATTTCCCTGTACTCCGGACGAGCTACCTCCTCGAAGACATCGCGGGCTGCCATGGCGTAGATGCCGGTCCCGCAATCCTGAATCTTTCCGAAGAACTCGCCGCCCATGGTGTGCGTTTTTCCGCTGCCAGTTTGTCCGTATGCGAAACAAGTGGCATTGCCGCCCTCGAACATGGTCCTGATCAAAGGACGAGCGGTATGGTCGTAGACCAGCGCATTGGAGCACTGCTCGTCGAAGGTGTAGTCGAAACGGAATTTGTGGTGCTCCAGGAACTTGGTGAGATCCACCTTGAGGCGCAGCTCGTGCACGATCAGGGTGTCGGCACTGGGAACTGTGATGACGTCCAGGTTCTTGGTGTTCTCCTCCCTGCGGCTCAAGGGTCGTTTTCGCACACACACCGTAATTTGCTGAACAGTGGATCCATGGGGATCCAGGCAGCGCAGTGGCGAAAAGATCAAGGTTGTGCGGTATTGGCGCAACATTGCCGACACCTCCCAGTTGGGATTCCCCGGATCCTGGCGACGCATTGCATCCTTCTCCTGCAGCTGCTCCACCTGGCGAGCCCGTCGCTTCTCCCTCTCGTCCTTCATGCGGTTCACCTCCCTCACGACACTGGAACAGCGTTGGTTGCTGCTGCTCCCTTTGGGGCCACCCTGTGCCCTGCGACCTTGGGTGGGGCTGGCATCACGGATCGGCCTGCAGGTGGCCACCCGCGGGGTGTGAGATCGACCCTGCTCACGATTTCCCGCTCCCGCCGGAGCAGGATCCGTCTTTCGCGTGGCAATTTTACTGCGGCAGTCTGGGACTCTGAGGCGCTCTGCGTACGGATTTCCAGTGTGGGTCTTACGAATCGAGCTAGGTGCTCCGGGCGGACTGCGAGCCCTTGGCTTCGGCATCAGGGAGTTCATTAGCTTCGATGGCGGCGATTGATTCTCCGCGAAGATATGGCGATTGATGCCAATCAGCGTGCTTAATGGCACCTCCTTACCCTTGATCACCGTGCCCTCGGTCCACTCACCCGTTATGGAATCCTGCTCCAGATTCTTGGCAGTGCAGACAACCGGATGGACGCGACCGTCGCTTCTTTGGAAGAACAGCTCCTCGCCAATCTGGATGCGATCCATATTTGGTGTTTGCGATTTATAACAGACAAAGATTTCTTTTATGATTCTCAGCTTGAATATACTTTTCTTGATTTCCTGTCCACAAACGAATAATGATACAATCTTTCATCGACCAGATGTTGCCTCTATAACTTACTGTCGAGTGTGAGTTTGTTGAGCTACTGATAATCGTTTGAAATCTAAGAACGAACCCCTAACGCCCAGCCTACTTTTCGCTTTCCAATACAGATTTTATTGATTTTTGCATAGTTCTACCTAAATGTATTAAACAACTCCGTCTGAGGTGGGCTACTCGATTTTCTGGTTGACTCAAAGCTCGAAATTGAAAAGCCTCCTTAAAGTAGAACTACTCGCTCTCGAACCTTTTCCTTCCGCTCCCAGAACCATTTTATGGTTAACATATTTGGGGTGTTGGCTCGTAAATTCCTTGGGTTAGCAGCTTCTTTTGATATATGGCTCTGGGCTCGTTACGGGTTAGTACTTTTCAAATTAGATTTGGGCTACCTTCTTCCCCTTGTGTGTGTCATAAAGCGAAGGCAGGACCTTTTCGTATTTACACAAGCGTGCACATTCCACAAATAAATAGCTCCCGTTCTGTTGTCTAGACATGTGATTGGAGCACAATTAAAATACATGTGCTGCAAGGCTACCCTTCGAGGGATCAAAGAACGTGCTGTTCCCAGTCGGTCAGGTGTAAAAACTAATTTACGGCAATGCCAGTCCAGCAGCCCCCAAAACCGCAATCGAAACCCCAAGGTGAATGGCTGTTGCCAAGGGGGACACTCTTAGCCAACTGCGACTGTGACTGTGACTAGCAGTCCTTTCTGCTATCAGCTAGTGGGTCAGCTCGGGGTGTGTGGACCATAAATCTCATGGCTGCTGCAATCAGGCCCTGCAATCGCAATCGCAATCGCAATCGCAATCGCAATCTGCATCAGAAATCAGCGAGCAGTGCCAACTTGTCAGGGCCGCTAGATAGCGACCAAACTGGAAACTGGAAATGGCGTCAAGGGCGCCATAAATGAGAATTTCCGTTTCATTTCCGACCGTTTGTTTGCGATTGTGAGTGTGCCTCTCTCTCTGTGTGTGTGTGTGTGTGTGTGCCTGTGCGGTTCATTTGTGGCCCATAATGAGCTGGCAAAATGTCGTGGCTCTGTATCGATTTTCGTTTAAAGTGCCGGCCAGGACAACCTAATGGCTTTCGGTGTCCCGAATTTATGGCAACTTGACCTCGGCCATTTGTCAGCATTAGAACACAATTGGATAGCATGGCCGTTGCAGTCAAGGGCATCATAAATGGTAAGCTGCCCATATGGCTCCATCCACTGGGCTCAAGCGAACTTGGGCCCACGGGCATCGATACAATTCAATTAAATACCGCCTTGGAAAATTCAAGCCAGTCTGCAGAATATTTATGCCAACTCGAGGTGGGGAACAGACACATAAATCTGTTTTCCCCCGACGCGATAAGCGGGAAGCATGTTGATGCAAGGGCGAAATAAAATATGTCGCCTAAATGGAGACCAGGATGCAAAGCCCGAAGATTTATGCGGATGTAATCGCTGGAGGCCATAAATTATAGCCAGCAGCTAGAAGGAAATCTACGCAGTCATCGATATTCCAACGAGATGTCAGTCATAGCAAACACTTTGTTCCATGTTTTAGGGTAACACACTAAACACAACACAAACACTTAAATTAGGAAGAAGTAGCGTGGCAATTTGGCAGGATGTTTTCAGGACTCATTCCCATGATGCAGCATACGCGGAGGGCCACGGCTCCACCAAGTGGGGATTTTGGGTATACTTATGTATAAAATATAATATATATGCTAAGGCTCGCTTTCTTCAGTAACAGCAGTGGTGTCTTCGAGCCCCAAAGTGGATCGATTGAGTCATCTAAGTGCAGAATGCAAATACTTTCGCGGTAAGCACTCTACTGCCGCCTACCTTTAGACGCGTTTTTGAAGAGCTAAAAACAATTTCAGAACCGGAATGCTGGTTCTGGACTACAAGCAATACAAAGCAGCCCGAACTATCCAACAAAACTGGCGAAGATTCTACTACCGAAATTACTTCAAGCATTTAAGAAGGGCGGCCATCACGATTCAGCGCTGGTGGCGCGGATTCTCGGTCAGAAACAACCACACCAGGCTTGTGGAGAACTTGCTGCAGAAGCGGGTCGAGGAGCACCACCGCCGGGCCGCCACCAAGATCCAGGCCCTGTTCCGAGGATGGGTGAGCCGGCTCACAATTCATGACCACAGCAAGTTGCTCAGGAAGCAGGTGTGCGCCGCCGAGGATCTGCTCAACTGCGTGGCCTTCAAGTTGCATCACCTGCTCCGCACCTTCGCGATTCCAGGTGTATACTCGCTGAAGAACTCAAAGTGAGTTGTAGTGGTAAAATTTTGCGTACTTTTGACTGAAATGTCGCCCCATTGCCACCAACAGCTGCATGTCGCGAATAGAGAAGCTGCTGGCCAGCTTACACTTCCGGTTTCACAACGGAAGGGTTAAGTCGCAACTGGCCAAAACTGTGGCCGCTCGCAGCAGGGACAAGGAAGCATTCAAGAAGAGCAGCAAGTACAGCAAAGTGCCTTTCGAAGGAGCGCGATATTGGAGCCAATGCAAGCCCAAGTGCGATGCCGCCTTGAAAATGTGCAAGAATATTGACAGGCGCATGTACAGGATCATCGAGATATACGATGCCTCGCAGAGGGAGGCCCAAGCGGCGTTGGTCGAAAAGAATAGGGCCTACAGTGAGTTAACTGCTAAATATTCCAATATTTATATATAGGTAACATCATATCGCAGGGAAGCAAAAGGGGCTCATGAAGAACATCAAGAAGGCGGCCGAGAAGAGTAAACGCGACTTCTGCGGCGATGTCATTGCCAGTATGAGACGCTGGAAAATCCTGGTGGACAACGAGCTGAGTGTGGGCAAGAACATATTTAGAAACCCGGAGAATCTGGAGAGGTTCATCGCCGAAATATCGGAGTACGCAAATGAGTTTGAGAACTGCACCTGCTATTGCCGCATTCCCGTATTTACAGAAATCTATTGCGGCTAAGTGTAATTAAAACCAGTAGATTGTACCAATTAGTGGGAATAAAAACATTTTTACAACTAAAGATTTTATTAGTCTTACTGCTCTCAATACAGAGTACTTGTATTGCTTCTCAGCCGAAAATCGCATTAAATATGTCGACTGTAAATGAAAATATCAGATGCATTCGTATATAAGTTTGTGTGTATCTCACCAAATACGTTGCCGAAAAATCGCAGGAGCACGGTGACAAAAGAGGGTCTTTGATAATCGGTCCAATTATCCGTCATCTGATCTGTTTTTGGCAAATTTAACGAAAGAGCATTTAAGTGTTAAGCTGCCAACTTCAGGCTATTTCTCACCTAAATGCTCGCAATCCAGCCGCTTGTTCAGATTTAAGCCACTATCGCCTCCGATGGAAGGGGCTCCACTCTCACCAATGTCGTTGATAATCGGATCCGCCATGTTGAAATTTACAATAAGAACTCACAATTTCGATTTTAGATACACTGCGAAATGTTTTCAGGAGCCATAAACTTGGATTTGGGCTATGAGTAAGTGGAATTAACTGGCAATGCAAGGATTGCTAGGTTTTTGGGTCAGCTCTGAGTGTAATGTATTTAATTTTTGAAATCAAAAGAAATTCGTTCTCCAGAGTGTTTTAAAAATATACCGTGATTTCAGATGTGCGCATTCAAGGACACAGAACATGCAATTTTCCCTCCCAACAGCTGCGAGTTACGAGCCAAGTGTGCGATTTATGCCATAAACTTTTCCAGCCAAAACATTTGAGATCCGGAGAGAAAGCATGCAAATGCGGAGTGGTAGCGAGATTTTCTCGGAACCAGTCCCTGAACGAGCATAAATTAAGGGGCGAGTGCCGGTGCTTTTAATTAGACAGTGAAACACGGCTTCGTCTGGCCAATGTCCAGGGGTTCTCCTTCTGGCCAGAACATCAAAACAGAGCTCCGAACAGCAGGAGACTTGGTAATTGTTCGGCTGGCCTTCATCATCGCCAGCTCCACAATAATCACCATCCTCAGATATGCAATTAGAGGACAAACGAAAAATGTGTCTTGGTCAGGCGCTGTCATCGTCATCGTCGCCCGGGGACAAATACATATTTCCCAGACTCTGGCGCTCTCGTGTATATACTTATGTGTATATATACTGATATAAATGAAATTAACCATATTCATCAGGCCCACAACTAAATGCAACATTTTCGGCCGCTAATGACGAGCGTTGTCGTCGTCTTGGGCAGCAACTTGTGTTGCCCCAGGGCCAGGTTCTTTATCACTTGGTTAATTACTTATGGCGACTCCCACATCCGATCCTTTGGGTCAGTCCGCCTCCCCCGCAATCGTGAGTCCTTGGCTGCTGCTCCACTCCGGCAGTGAGATTCGTTTACTTTGCGGCTGACATGGCAGCTCTCTGGACGTGTTCCACTGGCATTGTTAAAACGAATCGCAGTCTGGCCAACAGGTTATGTCGCAACCATAGTTAAGTTCAACTGGGCTGAGTCTTCATGGACAGCCATGCATGAAGGGCTTTAAGTATTTAGTCACCAGTTTGAAATATTACTCTTAATACCCAACTCACAGTGCAGACTTTCAAATGAGTTCGATGCCAGAAACAGAGATAGCTAAAATGCAGGCTAAAAAAAATGCACTAATTTAAGCATATTAAAACTTTTTTGGCCAAAAAGTAAAACCATTTTCGTTTTCGTACAGCTTTTTTTGGGCCAAATCCCAAGCAGCTTTATAAACATTAGGAAAGTAGGCGGCCAATGGGGGTTAAGCCTTCGCAATGATGCAACCAAACCGAAATGGCTTTCTACAAATAAAGTTGCATAGCCAACAATTTCACTTTCAGTTTTAATGCATTGTGTGTGGCCCGTGTGGCGCTAAAATTTCGGTTTTTTCCGCCTCTTGATTAAATGTGTTAAGAGCCCAAGCCCAAGCTGGCCAACTTTTAGCTGGCCAAGATAGTTTTGCCAATTATTCGAGCAGAATTATTCCGCCCCAAGCGATTCAAACGTCAGTCGTGCAAAAACCGTAAGTATTGTTACTTTGCATTGTAATGTAAATTAGCCTAGAATAATATTGTCAGCTCAATCGAGTGCCTGGTTTCTAATGAGCTTGCCGGAAAATTCCGAGGCGTTTGCACATGTCTAGGATCCATTTGATGGGGTTTGTTTAGGAGGTGGGCCAATTTCAACCGCAACACAAGGCGTTTCAAATGTTTCCTTTCAAATTAATTAGAAGTTTGCGGTGAGCAAAGCAAAGCGAAGCCATGTTGCCTGCTGCCCTTTTCATGGACATCATCATCATCGTCATTGATGGCAACCAAGTAGGCCACAAAATGGTTTTCGGCCAACAATGAAATCTGAGTTCTAATTGCCGGCACACAAACATATAATTAACTAAATAATGAGATGAGTGGGTAAGTGGGAGTCGGTTGGTGGGTGGTGGGTGGTATCTTAGCCATTTGGCTGCTGTTAACGGCATCCGTAATTACCTTTGATATTCTCAGCTACACTCGCAGCAGTCGGGGCTTTCAATTAATGCCGCCATACTGTCGTGTTTCGTTGCGCTTTTTGTAAAAGTTTTTTAATTTATCGGCCATAAATTCAGCCACGTTTGGCCATCATTGGCACCTGCACAAGGCAGCTAAGGCGAATATCATATATTTCTTTTGTTGAATAACACAAGTATTTATATTAATTACCATGTTCAATGTGAATGGCAGCGGTTCTAAATGAATTTTGTTTGTAAGTGGTAACGTTTAGCAAATACACAATGCAAATTTTGTATGAAACACTACAACCGCTTATTTGCTGATTTTATTCCTTATTCCTTCGAATAAGTTAAAACAAATTGAAAGTGAAAGTGGCCAAAATCAAACCAAAGATGACCAAAAACAGGATGGAAGGTTGGGGACTGGACAAGGGTAGAAAAAGACAAAGGGCAACCGATTAACATTTATTGGGTCTGAACTTTAATTTGCCTTGTTGGCCGAGAAGCTTACCTCGCGCCGGCCTTTTGGCCATTTGACATTCGAACTGGGTGTAGATTTATGGGATTGCCTGTGTCGATTAGTTAGCCATAAATCTTCGCTGTTTGCTTATGGTCAGCAGTCCAGTCCAGTTCAGCTGATCGGCTTGGTGACCCCGAACTATACGATTCACGCATTGTCCGGGTCTGGGCACTTTCGCAGATATTCAAGACCTTCTACTGCTCCGACAGCAAACAAATTTACGAGTCATGGCTGGAGAAAATGTTTTTCTTTCGTTCTTCATCATCCCGGCATTAACAGGTTAACTCATTTTAGATGAAATCTGCGCTGAGCGAAATATAAATATATGAACAGCAGGAAAACGGAAAGAAACAGCGCTGGACTACTAATTTGCAAAGTTTTCACGCTGACTGAACTTTAACCCTGCCGCAGGTGCTAAAAATGATTTGCAAAATGCAAAACTTTTCGTTATAAATTCATAGCCATATATAACTAACAAAATAGAAGAAAATGAAAGCCAGCGATTCGGCGAAGAAGTTAAAATTGCTCAAGTTTTATATACATTTTACGTTTGCTTTGAAATATGCAAAAAGTTTAATCAAATTTCAACAAATTGTTATTCTCTAAATTCTCCTTTTAAGTTCCGCCCCTGCACGACTAACAACCTAATAAATAGTGATGCAAGCAGTTTAATTTTACTCCTAGTTTAATCATTCTGATTAATGCACTTAAGCAGTTTGACCCTCAAAAGTAGGCTATGCTTTTGCCGCATGGATTGATGTGAGATATCATCGGTTAAAAGTAAGTCAGGAAACACGTGCTAGGCCAAGTAAAGAAGTGCTAAAAATAGAAAACAAATGACCATTAATAGGTACTCCAAAGGGATAATTTTGGAAACTCCCACACAATAGCAGCAGGAATGGAAAAGAAAAACTATAAAGCGGAATATTTACATTCCTCGTTCGCTCGATGTCATAAATCTTTTACACCTGGTTGTGAATGTGTAAACGCCCACGAGCTGGCGCAGATAAATTCAGTGCCAAAATATTTAAAGTCTATTTGTTAGGGGCAAGTAGCGAAGGAAAACAGCGCAAAGAGCACGGGAAACTCGGCGAAGGAAGCCAGAAAAACCGCGAGTACCACCTGAAAAATGGGACACAGGGAGCAGTAGCATGAAAGCCCCAGAGAAACCCCAACAATTTAACAACTGACTTCATGTGAACTGAGCAAACATGCAAGTGTGTGCACACACACACACGTACCCCCCTACACACACACACCGACTGCCTCGCACACACACGAATTCATATGCGTGGGTGCAAAAGAGAGAAATGGCAGGAAAATAGCAAGCAAATTTTTTGCTCCCCTGTTCCATTTTCTATGACTGCTCATGCTAGTTTCCCTTTGGTTTTCTTTACTTTCCGAGTGCTTCGATCAATATGGCAGCTTTTCAATTAATAATATTACATTTTGAGCTACTAAAAACGTTTGTACAGCGCGTAGGTAAAGCACTTAATACTATTAAAACGCTCATATTATAGCGCCATTGTTCTTCTACATCAAAAATAAACAAAGGCACTGTTTTCTCATAACATTTGTATTAATGCTAAGCTAGAGTAACTGGTAAAATATATTTATTTGTTGAGGGTTATACAGAATAGGCGGTTTAAAATCGTTTTTCACAAGCGGGAAAAAATAAAATGAGAAGTGTTAAAAAAATGCATCATTCCTGGCCGAACGAAAATATTGACAGAAACACTGGACTTAAACCAAGATTAACTGCAGTCAGTGTGTGTGCATTTTCCGCATTTTCCGAATTTTCCGTATGCCCGGCACGTATTTGAATTATGTGTGGTGGTGAGTCCTGAAAACCCACGCACGCCACTGTCAGGCGGCTAAAAATAAATGCATACTTGTATATAACCCGAAACTCGGAATATTACTCCTCTACTCACGACGGAGTCTTCCCTTTTTTGCACTGGCACACAAATTGGTCACGGCCACGCCCACTAATCACGGCGCCAAGGCGTAAAATTGCCAGCCGATTAAATTGGCAATCAAGTGAAAAGACATCAGCAGCCCGTCCCGGCAGAATGAGTTCCATGCCTCTCATCTTTGCTGTGAGTAAAATGGCATAATTACATGTAACTAGCCGAAAAAGTTTACATTTATGAGCGACTGACGGCTCTTACCTGTTACCTGGGGGATATGGCCGAGTTTGGGGAGCGAAAGCGGGGAGTTTTCCGGCGGCGGAGGCAGGGGGACTAAGCCATCATCCGAGCGGTGCTATTTATGTCGCCATCAGCGTGGCGGAAAAACGGAGACGCGGGCAGAACAGCTATGGAAAAGCGGGGAGTTTTGGGTGGCCAAATGGCTGCGTTGACACAGTTTCCCTTTTCGCCCAGCTGCGTCTGATGCTTTTCCCGTGCTCCTGTCATTTCCCGCCCCTTTGTGTATGTGTGTGTGTATGAAAAATTCGCGCAAAAAGGGTCTAGAAAATTATGAATGAAAGATGGCGGCAAAGTTCGCTAAATGGCTACTGGTAGCAGTGAAGTACAGCAGGGGTATTAAAAAATACAAGAAAAGCGTTGAAGGTTGGCATAAAAAATGGCAAGTATTTAAGAAATCAGGTATTAGCATGATGACTTATCATTGTCTATTTAGCAACTATGTTATGAAGATTATTAAAACTTGGAAACCACATCAGCATAATGTGATGTGTACCTTATGACTTTTGCGACGGTTTAACAAGCGTGTAGAAGGATGAGCGAAGTAGAGGTGAAGTAGATTTGAATGGATTGATCATAAGGAAAGTTCGGAGTGCTGAACTTTGGTCAGATTTTATTTCAGTTTCATTGGCTGAGTAGAACCGAATCCAATTAAAATGTTTGCAGAAGCAAAGCAGAGTTGAAAATTAGCATCTGCGAATGACCTCTGTGCACTTTCGCCGTATTTGCGAAAGAACTCTCTGATTGCAATTGACCTCGAGACGCCTTAGCCGCCCACTCACTTATCCCTCATCTCCCGGCGGACGGACAACTGTGGACGAGCGGACAGCTAGACACCAGCTGGGAATATTTTAATTACCATTTAGGCAAACGTCGAAAAAAGCTAAAATCCAAAAGAGAACATTAAAAGCCGAGTGCAGACGTCTCAGCCGCGCCCTCTGACCCTGCCACGCCCCCAGCGCCCCTGACGCGACCGCTTTGAACTTGCGGCTCAACTTTCTGGCCTGCTGTCAAATGGGAGCGAGTGGTACAGCAGCAGAATGCGGCAAATGTTGTTCGGAATATTAATTCCAGTTTGCGCCGCATTTAAGAAGCTTAATGAACTTGAATACTGGAATTAAAGCTGAAAGCTACACAGGGAAATATAAAGAAATTCATAGGAATATCATTTGCTCAAGCTGTTCTTTGCTTTCGATACTTTTCCACGTTAGGCCAAAGTTTCATTTACCTTAATTACAATCAGCTTGGGAATCTTCAAATACATTTCTTTCAGTGCACAAAAGCAATGTGTTTCATTTGCCCCATGGATGTGGCAAGGAAAGGTGGCAAAGGGACGAAGAACAAAAAACTTTTAATGCCGCATCGCTCTATCCCTCGGTCCCTTGATATTTGTTTATTCTTTGAACTTCTCCAATTAAAAGTAAATATTGTGAGTAGTTTATCTCGATTTCATTCAGCGCCCAGCAGTTTGCATAGTTGGCTGTTTTTTCAGGACTCTGCCCCTTTTTCCCCATTAGCAGGCCAACTTTGTCTGCATTTCGCACGCAATCTAAGACAGCGGCTTCGTCATTTCCACTCCAGAGCATTCGCTTTGTATCCGCATCCGCAGCTATATGTGTATCTAGATCTGATTCCCACTCGAATCCAACTCAACTTTGTGCCAGAAACTTTTCCATTCACGTAATTTAATGCCTCTTAAAGCGACTGGACAGCAAATGCCACTTTTAGTCCTTCGCGGCGCCATCTGAAATCGAGTTTTTCACCTGATTATAGTTCGCAGTTGCTTTTATATATTTTGTACTTAAAATAAGATGAGTCTAATTTTTGAACTTACCAAATGTATGAGTATGTTGCTTGCGAATACAAAACCCTCAACCTTAATAGCCAGCAGCTTTTATTAAATTCGATTTTATTTACCTTTCAGAGCATCGATTTTCCGGAAACACACGATTTATACGCACAAAATTGAAGCACACATCTGGCTAATTAGTTTATCTCCTGAATGGGAAGTTCGCTGAAGTTGGAGCGTGGAGAAAGTGAAAGTTTCCAACTACCCCCGCACACAAATACCCGAACTAACCGGCAGATACTCGAAATCACGTTGCAGCTTACAAAAACATGGAATAATTTTATTTACGATTCAACTTTGTAGTCACAAAATCATATGAGTAACTGCCACAATGAAAATGGAGGTGGGGCAGAGTGTAAGGTGCAAAGCATAAAAAATTGTGGTAAAACTTTATGTGCGTATCCCTGAGAAGATTTCAGTCATCTGCCCAAAGTTAAGTTGACTTTATGGTGGAAATAAAAACACAGAGAATAAAATAATAAAAACGGAAATTAATGTTGAACGAGGGGCTAGCAGAATGTGTGCGAATAAATTATGCAGTCTCAGGAAAGGAATAAAAATCAAATTATGTTCAAGATACTTTAAAAGTGCTTTATTAGCCAACCTGTGGGTTTTAAATTTGCCCTGATACTTTACTTAGAAATTTGTCTCTACTTGAAACCATTTTTCATGTGCCCTTTGTGCTGCCCTTAAAGTGCTGGCCAGCCCAAAGTGGACCCTCCTCCCACTTGGCTGCAACGGCCTTGGTCCGCTCCAAGTCAAAGGGGGGATCCCTCCCAATCCCCCAACTTGGCCCCACTTTTCCATCGTTTTGTCTCCGCTCCATTGTTCAGTGGCCACCAGCTCGTTTGGCCTTTGCCACGGCAGCAACTCATTAAAAATTCCATTTTCATTTCGCCCATCATCCATTTTGATTTCATAGTCGAGTGGATGGCGCTGGGCGGGTGAGCTGCAGTTGGATTCTGGTCGGATTGGTTGGAATTGGTAGGAATTGGTTGAGATGGGGTTGCCAGCGACTGCGGGTCGCTCAATTTCAAAGTGTTTACTTTCTTGCACATTGATTTCGATGGGACTTTCACTTTGGCTTTCGCCCTTTTGCATTTTAACGCTGGCAATTTTATATTTTATTTAAATAACTGCCGCCGCAGCCGAATTTCTCTGAGAATTTTTAACGCCGCCGTAATTAAAAAATAAATATAAGAATTATGCAATTTTTCCAGCATCAGCTTAAATTTATTGCCGGCAACCATGAACGAATCCATATTGGAAATTGGAGGGCAAAATGGTTGCTGCAGTTAATTATTTGCCCTGCCAGTTTGGCGAACGTGACGTATACGTAATTTTTATCCCGCCTGGTTTACTGATGAATTGTTTGCCCAGCACTCAATCAATATATGTACACGGAACTTATATGTTCATATGTAAATATGCATACATATTAATACGAGTTTGTGTGCCTGCCCTTTGCGTGTGCTTTAATTTATTTGGGCAGCAATTTTTAAGGTTCACAGCCGAATTGATACTGGGAGTCAACTGGAGCTTCCATCTGCGGGCAAATAGGCTTGATTTCAGTATAAAAACTGTATATATTCCAATTATCATTGCCCAATCGCAGCGCTAGGCCAGCATTTTTAGAATTGATATCTTTGCTGCATACAGGAACGTAATCGATGGTGTCAATTACTAAACTGTTTAAGTTCTTCCGTAGAATCACTAACTCTGATCATATTTTCAATTTAAAAGACTCGTAAACACTTAGGGAACAAATTCCGTAGACTTTAAAGTCATTCCAGCAAACAGACGAACACGAAACATTTGATTGAAATTCATACATCATTTGGCAATCCCAAGATGGACAAGATAATGATTTGCATCATTGGATCCGGAAACTGGGCAACGACTATAGCCCGTAATGTGGGCAGGAACGTGATGAACTCGCAGACACTGGACGAAAAGGTGCCCATGTATGTTTATGAGGAAATTGTTGAGGGTCGCAAGCTCACGGAAATCATCAACACCACCCACATAAATTCCAAGTACATGCCGAACTTTGAACTGCCGCCAAATATTGTGTGTGACCTCGACTTTGACTAACGATGTGTCAAGTTTCTTATATTTCAATTCCACATCCTTCAGGTGGCCGTGGATGATATTGTGACCACGGCAAGAGATGCTGACATCATTATATTCGCCATTCCGCCGACCTTCGTGAGCAGCTGCTGCAAGACCCTGCTCGGAAAAGTGAAGCCCACGGCCCATGCGGTTTCCCTGATCAAAGGATTCGAGCGCGGCGACGATGGCCAGTTCGTCCTGATTTCCCAGATAATTATGCGGCAGCTAAAGGTCATAGCACTAGCATTAAAGATATAATTTACAAATTTTATAGCCTACTCCAAAATAGATTCCATGCTCCGTCCTGGTGGGCTGCAACCTGGCCCATGAGCTGGCCCACGATCACTTTGCCGAGGGCACAGTGGGCTGTCGGGACCAGAAGTATTATAGGGTGCTCCACGACATATTCAGGTCGCCCACATTCCGGGTGGTGGTCACCGAGGATGCGGACTGTGTGGAGATCTGTTCCACTCTAAGGGTTAGTGCCTCCTTGCGATACATTTACATTTGGAGTATGCTGTTTCTTGTGAAAATTGCAGAATATCATTGCCTTTGCGGCTGGCTGCTCGGATGGAATGGAGCTGAATGAGAACACCAAGGGAGGAATCATTAGGAGAGGATTTCTGGAGATGCTGCAGTTCGTCGATGTTTTCTATCCCGGCTGCCGCATGGGAACCTTTTTTGAGTCCTGCGGAATATCCGATTTGGTTACTAGTTGTTATGGTATGCCAAAAATGTACTTAATTCTACATAGTTTAAAATATATACATATTTTCCACAGCAAACCGCAATCGCAAGTTGGCCGAGGCCTTTGTAAAGACGGGCAAGCCCCTGAGCGAACTGGAGCACATTCTCATACCAGGACACGAGCCACTGGGTCCGGTGACCGCAGAGCTGGTGCATCATATGCTCAAGAAGAAGGGCCTGGAGGACAAGTAAGGATACTGTAGATGTGTAGTATGCTGTTAAATGATCTCAAGCCCCTCCCTACCACAGATTCCCCCTCTTCACTACTGTGTACAGGATCTGCACTGGGGACTATCCACTGCAGCGGCTGGTCGAAACCCTGATCAAGGCGCGCGAGGATATGTAAGGATGTGCTGGAAAAGTCCTACTTATCTAGTAGTAATTATAACTCTCCCTGCAGATTCCACCCACTGCACACTTTCCAATTGTGAGGCGGACCCGTCGTTTGAGGTGTAATAAGTATTAAATAAAACCATACAGCATTGAAATTCGCATTCTTACTGCTTAGCCGACTAAATGGAGCACATGAGCCGGTTTTGTCTGGGATGTATGTACACGATTTGTTCAAACAAAGCCCCTCAACATTCGCATTGTGCGTCTTTTCTTGGTGCAGTTCAAGTGCTCCTTTGCGAAGAGAGTGCACTCCATTGAATGCACCAACGCTCCCAGCACAACGAAAAACAACGGAAATCACTTCAGTCGGGGATCCGGATCCGGATGAATGGGAAAGAAAGCCGCCCGCTTTTCCATCGCATTGTTTTCCATGGCTCAACTATAAATTTATGTGTGTTTCTCGGTGTCCGGTAGTGATTTTTTATTTTTTTTATTTTCCTCCTTGCACCATTGTTGTGCGGCTGAAGTGCTTTCCAATCGGAATTGAGGAAATGGGAGCAACCACTGGAGGACTAGTCGAGATCTCGAGATCTGGAGTTCACTGAACCATACGTCAAATGGAGCACGTGTGTCAACACAACACATTCGGTCAGTAAGCCAGAAAAACCAGCACCGATAAGATCTATATCTGAGTATCAGTTTCTACAAAAATTTTATTTTATAAAATGGAGAACATTTCATTTGCCAACTTTCGAATAGGTCTAAGAAAGCAGGCATATTTCACCTACGTCCTAGCTGTGGCACCACTTATTTTACTCCTGTCATGGATATTTTACAAGCAATCGGAGGCTGCAGTGCCTTACCATCAAGGATCAAGATTCTGGCAATGGGGAGAAAAGATTTATTACTTTTTCATGAACGAAACGCCCAGAATGCAGTCAAAAGCCAGCTTTACGAAAATAATCTGGGATTTCTTTAAGAAGTTTTACAACGTTTAGTGAGCGATTCATCAACAATATGAAAATTATCTGGAAAACAGAAAATGTCTCTTTTGCAAGAATCAGAATCGGTCAGCAATTTAATCTGTTCGTGGTCCATTTCAGTTCATTTCCAAGTCAATTTTGAAATTGTTATTTAATAAATGTTTTATGCAATTCATTTAGTTTTCGGCTTTGCGATTTGTCCTGCGAATTTTTTCACGCATAATTAAATCAAAGCAGCAAAGGCGGTAATCAGCGGGCAGGGAAATTGGCGGTGCGGGGGTGTGATTGCATCCGGATTTTGTAAACGGATTAGTTTAAATGTCGAAATTGACCAATTCGATTACATTAGCGGATAACATTTAATCCGCGCCGAATGACAATTATTGTTTATGATTGCATTGTGTGATACGTTCTTTATGCATAGCTCATGTGAGGCAATATGCAAATTATTTATTAATGTTTAAAATGATTGAAGCTGATCGAGGAAGCCGGGTTAGAGAAAAAGGAGCCAACGAGAAAATGCGCACAATATATCAAAAGATTAAATCCATGAAATCATTTTCTTCATTATGCATGCATTTATTATTACGTTTCAGGAGGCCAAAAAAAATGTATGCAAGCCACATTACGCACATCCAGTCCAATGGCTTTTCAATTTATTTGGAATTAAATTTTTTTGTGTAAAACACGGCAAATGTTTTCCATTTCAATTGCTTTATTAGTTCATTTCAGATTTGCAGTTTACGCAAGCATACAGCAAATATTCAGCTTACGTGCTGCCTGCGTACAGGTGCAAAATGCCAGCTAAAATGAAAATCAAAATGAAAATGAAAATGGAAATGGAAATCCCCGAAACGAATTCAAACTGTCCGGCCCGTCGTTCTGACTACGGTTAAACAAATATGCCTGGGGTCCCGGCCAAACAGGACAAAAAGCTATCGAAATTTGCATATCAGGTGTGGAGCAGGAGTGTCCAGGGTATACGCTGTTCGCCCCTTCCTTGTTGCATTTTTCAGTGGGTGGTGGGCTGAAGTGGGGCTCGTGTGGCGTTCGCCTTTGCCGATAATTACACGGTAAATTTGGCAAAATGTGACGTCAAATAGCAAACAAGACGCCACTGAAGACCCAAACAAGTTGCACGTAGCTGTGGGCAATGTATCTATGTATCGTATCGGTGCCTTCATACACCAGAGCACCCATACATTTGGCGGCGAAAACACAGATACGACACACACACAAATACACCTTTACACAGAGGCAGTGGCGCAAGCACTTCAAAAAATAAATAACAATTTGGTACGTTACACACGTCTCGGCTTATGCAAACGTATCTGCAACTTGTGCCTCGCTCTATCTCTTTCCCCTCGTGTATGCCCGTCTCTTTCTACGAAAGAATGCTTCATCCAGGACCACCCGCTCGGCAAATAGAATACACACAGGACATGCAGCACGGCTGACGAGAGCGGCTCTTGGAATGGTGTTGTTTGTTGATTCGGTTATTGCTGCTGCCTGTTGTTTGCCCTCAAATTGAACAAATAGCTAAAACAATCCCCGCCAGAATAGATATCACTGGAGTGGTTCTGGAACACCCTAAATGGAGCCTCAAACGGTACGTGTTTCATTCCAAAATGACTTACCACATGCATAAAGTATCTATTGATAACCGCCCAAAACTTGTTTGAAAAATGTTTGCATATTTTTTCATTTTTTTATTAGTCTTGAAAGTTTCTATCGATTTGCCAAAAATAGTTTTGCCACGCCCACACTTTTAAAAAAATTGTAAGTTCATTTTATCATTTTTTCCCCAATTTCTACCGATATTCCACTAGCTGAGTAACGGGTATCTGATAGTCGGAGAACTCGACTATACCATTTTATCTTGTTTTTTATAATTTTAATAAGTTTTTTAAAATTACCAATGTCTAACGAAAAATCTGGCATAACACACGTTGCTTTGACTGTCGCTTCCGTTTTCTGTTATTTTTTTATGACAGTATTTCAGAAATCTGCCAAAATAATATGCCCGCTAAATTGGTGAAAATTTGCAGTTGAACAAATTTGTTGCAGAAATCGCAGGATCTCAGATTTGCTGCCATGGATCAGTTGTCGATCAAACAGAAGGTTTTCATTCGTCGCTCGGACGGCAGAGTGCACCTGGCGGAGATTATTAAACTGGAGGGCGGTAGCACCAACCTGGTTACGGTGGAATGGCCTGAAGGACATACGGTGCGCGGTAAGGATCTGCCCCTGGAGCTGGTGGTCCTGATGAATCCCCAGATTTTCGATCTGCCCCGCTGCAGTGGCAATGCCACATCAGCCAATCAAACGGCCTCCATACCGCCACGTTCCATGAAAGAACGCATGGCGGAAGGCAGTCTATTACCTGGATTGGCCGCAGCCACGCCCCGCCAGCTGACGCCTTCGGTTCGAGAGGACGATGTGGTGCACCAGATAGAAAGGATGCGAAAGGAACGGGAACAGAGGCGTGAAGTGCAGGCCAGGACGCGTCAGGAGCGGGAGCAGGTGAAGAGCGAAGATCCGGGCAATCCCAACTGGGAGATAGCCAAAATGATACGAGCGCAACGTGTGCAAATGGAGAGTCAGCCGGTGAAGAGCTGCATACCGAATGGACGAGCCAAGGGGCACCAAATTGTGGTTTGTGTGAGGAAGAGACCACTGCGACGCAAGGAGCTGACCGATCGGGAAGTGGATGTGGTCACCATTCCGTCCAAGGACACGTTGGTGGTCCACGAGCCCCGAAAGCATGTGAACCTGGTCAAGTTCCTGGAAAACCATAGCTTCCGTTTCGATTACGTCTTCAACGAAGATTGCTCAAATGCCACGGTCTACGAGTTCACCGCTCGACCCTTGATAAAACATATTTTCGAAGGCGGAATGGCCACGTGTTTCGCCTATGGACAAACCGGCAGCGGCAAGACCCATACGATGGGTGGTAGGTTTCCCGGAAGTCAGCAGAGCTCCATGGATGGCATCTATGGCATGGCCGCCAAGGATGTGTTCTCCACTCTGAAGACGGCTCCCTATAGCAGACTAAAGCTAAAGGTGACCTGCAGCTTCTTCGAGATCTACGGCACCCGGGTGTACGATCTCCTGATGCCTGGCAAGCCGCAATTACGCGTCCTGGAGGATGGCAAGCAGCAGGTGCAAGTGGTGGGTCTAACGCAGAATGCAGTAAAGAACACCGCCGATGTTCTGAACCTGCTCGAGATGGGAAATAGTGTTCGAACCTCGGGCCAGACCTCTGCCAACTCCAAATCCTCCCGATCGCATGCGGTATTCCAAATCGTGCTGAGATCCGAGGCGAACCAGCGGATACACGGGAAATTCTCGCTTATAGATCTGGCCGGGAATGAAAGAGGAGCGGATAACAGCTCGGCGGATCGGGTGACCCGCCTGGAGGGATCCGAGATCAACAAGTCTCTGCTGGTCCTGAAGGAATGCATTCGCGCTCTGGGTCGCCAATCGAGTCACCTGCCCTTCCGCGGCTCCAAGTTGACCCAAGTCCTGCGCGACTCCTTTATCGGGGGCAAGAAGGTGAAAACCTGCATGATAGCCATGATCTCGCCGGGCTTGCATTCGGTGGAGCATACCTTGAACACCCTACGTTATGCGGATCGGGTGAAGGAATTGAGTGTGGAGTCGATGTCTCCCAAACGGATGCAGGGTCCCAGCCTTGAAAGCACTTCCATGCCAGACATCATCAGCCAGTCACCCAGCAAGCGACTCTTTCCATCTGCCTCCTCCACATCGCTGCGAGGTGCAGGTAACCCAGCGCAGAAAGAGCTCAACACCACGAATGACTTAAACAGAGCCCAGAAACAGGAATCTAAGCCCACCTCTCCCACAACCGGTCGGCAACTGATCCGAAGGAAAGGGCGCTCGGCACAGGAAGTTTCCATGATGCTGGCCAAATCCCTGGCAGAATTCCGAGGGCGCAACTTTCCCTGAAACTCAGGATTCAATCAATCGATTTCTACAGCAAGGTTTTAAAATTGAAAAGTTTGTCTAAATTATTTGTTATCTAAATAAATTGTATATTACTGGAAATGTGTGCATAGTAATATCTTCTCGTTTGATAGACACAATGAACACTTTACTTACCACCAACCTCAGCCGTACTCATCACCCACCTGAAAAGTTAGTTAA